TTATCTTAAAATATGTTGGGTAAAACATGGGTAGATAAAGAATGAGGGATAAAAGTACAGTATAGATGTACGTTGGTAGCTATGAATTTAGTACAGTATAGATGTACGTTGGTAGCTATGGATTTAGTACGTTGGCAGCTATGGACTTAGTGCCTGTTGTATAAACCTTGGCGACGATGTGACTTCGTGCCTGTTTGACATAAATTGCTGAGGAAAAGCAGTGTTGTCACCCCGATGTTTGTCTTGTTTGACATAAATTGCTGAGGAAAGCAATGTTGTCACCTTATTGGTTGTTTTATGTCAGGTTGTCTTGTTTGACATAAATTGCTGAGGAAAGCAATGTTGTCACCTTATTGGTTGTCTTATTTGACATAAATTGTTGAGGAAAGCAATGTTGTCACCCCATTGGTTGTCTTTTTTGACATAAATTGCTGAGGAAAGCAGTGTTGTCACCCCGATGGTCGCCTTATTTGACATAAATTGCCGAGGAACCTCCGAAGCAATGTTGTCCCCCTAATGAAAATCCTTAGGCTAGGTCCCTTGTGATAGTTGTTTTAGGGACGTAAAGTGAGGATAACGGGAATGGGTAATTAGGGTTATTTTTGGTTGAAGAAATTAATAAAATTATTGTTGATTGATGAACTTAATAAGTTTATTATTTATTGTGGGTTGAAAACCCTATATGCTCACCAGGCTCCCAAGCCTGACCCACTCAGCCTTTTTATCTTACAGGTAGTGGACTCCGAGCATAGTCGGATGATGATGAGAGATTTTTGGATTATAGGCCAGTAGTTGTTAATAACTGTTGTAAGGCTTATAATGTCTTGTTTGTGCTTATGATCTGTATCGGAACATGACATCCCGAGATTTTGATATAAAATGAAAATATATATTTTTAAAGAAAGGTTTTGATAAATTTTTATCATGTTTTGTTTTGGGAACAAACTCCGCAACATCTTTTAAAAGGATTACTCTGATTTTATTTTAAAAAGCATAAACGAAATCGGTCTTTTCTAGCCTTGAAATTGGGGATGTCACAATCACCTTCTGCAGTTATATGGAAACCATATAACGAAGTTGGCATGCTAACCCTAATGGGCTGACAAAGGGGCAACGAATTGCTAATGGGATCAACAGTTTCATTCTCATTTTAAGAGCTAGTATCTTCAAAATTAGCTTCATCAGATGACTCTTGAATCTCTTCAAGATCAATCGTGCTCCCACTATCCTCTTTGGAAATGAGCTCTCTCTCTCTCTCTCTCCCTCTCTCTCTCGTGAAAGACTCCTCTTCGAGCTACAAACACCACGTTATCATTGGGCCTGTAAAACAATCATCCAGAAGATTTTTTTGGATAATCGATCAAAAAACACTTCTCTTTTTCTAAGGTTTCTTGCCTAACGAGAATCTCACAACTCCTAAACTTGATATGTGCAAGTGAGGGAGGTTTCCCTGTCCACATTTCATGAGGTGTCTTGGCAACTTTCTTAGTTGGAACAAGATTGAGGATATGGGCGGCTGTTTCTAAGGCATACCGCAGAATGATATTGGAAGCGAAACTCGACTTATCATGGAACGAACCATAGAGTCTTTGAAGCATGATCTGGCTTATCGTTTTACTATAAAAGACTTAGGCTTAATGCGTACTTTGTTAGGGATTGAAGTTGCTCAATCTCCAAAGGGCTGTCTTTTGTCTCGAACGAAGTATATTTTTGATATGTTTGAATGTGTAAGGCTCTCTGACAATAGGACCGTTGATACCCTTAGAGACTAATTTTAGGTATTCTCCAACTGAAAGTGTCCCCTTATCAGATCTGAGACTATCTCGAACCATTATGGGAAGTGTGGTTTATCTTACTATTACTCGACCAGATATAGATCATGTAGTTCGTGTGGTTAGCCAGTTTGTCACCGCTCACTCTACTATTCATTAGGGAGTTGTTCTTCGTATCTTGAGATATCTCCCGGGAACTCGGTTCCATAACCTTGTGTTTCCTTCCTCGTCCTATCTTGTGTTGTGTGCTTATAATGATGCTGAATGAGATAGTGATCCTCATCATCGCAAATCCACCATTGGCTTTTTGTATATTTTTTGAAGATTCATTGATTTCATAGAATAGTAAGAAACAAGATGTTGTCTCCCGATCTTCAACATAGGCTGAATATCGAATATCAAGCTACAGTTGTCACCACTTGTAAGACATGGGTGTTGACATTTCTCAGCCAACCCCTTGCATTGTGACAACAACAACACAATACTAATTGTCAAGAATTCAGTTTTCCATGAGAGTAGATGAAACATATTGAGATTGATTGTCATTTCACTCGTCATCATTTTACAACATAGGACTATCTCTCTGTCACATGTTTCCTCAGTATATGTTTACAATGGCTTTGTCTGCTTCTCGAGTTTATTTTTTGTCTAACAAACTCTCAATGCTCATTGTTGCTATATTGTGAGTTTGAGGGAATTATTGACCTTATTTTTGTTTTGGGTTATTCCTTAGCCCTTTAGCTAGGTAAAACTTAAATAACTTTCTAGTTATAGCTGTATTTCCCTACTTTGTAAATACAAATTTCTTTTAATAATAAACAGTTTTTTCTTTAGATTGTTATTACTTTTCAGAATCTAACAAGTACGGTTGGTATCAAAAGCTAAACCAAGTTGTAACGTAATTATTTTAGTGGATACTACTGTTTTTAATATTTTTTTTTAACGGCCATGTTAGTATTTGTTTGAGATTGAACCCAGGACTAGTGTTTTTAATTAATCTCCTACCCGGCTGGTTTTGTTAAAAAACGTGTCACTTATTGACAATTTATTGTTTAAAGTTATGGGACTCTGTAGAGTGTACCTGGGGAGTGGGTCTGATCTTGTTCACCAACAAAATAGCAACAAGTAGCATTAAAATCTTTAATTATGCAGTCACTATCCGATAGAATCTGTCGGGGTAAAAGCTTCTATTTCCTTATTGTGGATGACGATTACTATTTAAGAATCACATATGAGAATTTGTGAAACGTTCACTACATAAAAGAGATGCATGGCCAATCACATTGAACCAACGATTCTTCTAGATAAGTCATTATCTATTAGTGCATCACATGGACCGGATATTGTTCACTGGTATTAATCCATAAGTGACCTTTTAAAGCTTTAAAAAACATGCTTTTAAAAATACATTTCCTTAGCTTGTATCCTGTCATGCTAACTAATTGGTTGACTCGTTCTTTTAAAAAACTTGGTCCGCTAGAAAAAAAAAAATTCCCTCTGATCATGGCAGTTAATTAACACCGAAAAGGAAACCCATGAGTTGACGCATTACACCAGAATATGATGCATTGTGCCTAGATATTAAATGGAACAAAGTAAAAGGAGTACAAGCAAATGAACCTACCCAAGTCAAGCACACTGAGTTGAGTTGAAACCTCATTTCACATGGCCATGTCAACGTGTAACTAAGAGTAAAGAATGAAACGACAGGCTACAGAACATTAATTTTGAGGCAATCAAATTGAGAAAAGGAGTTGCCATGTTGGCATGCATTATTGGTGTAAGCATAATATGATGTATATATTATTCCCGAAATGTCTTTTCCTATGTGATTTTCCCATCTAGTGCTCAAGCATAAATGCAGCATCACACCAAGTGTACAAATGATCCTCGGCATTTTCCAATTTACATAAATGAAGTAAGAGAATGAAATGAGGAAAAAAGGATAGCCTATTGGATGCCAAGACTCGATGTTAAACAGCCACATATCCAGATATATACAAAGACGTGGCCTTACATATGCCCATCATGATATGCTCCATCCCTACATCCCTACATATGACAACATAATATTCTGCTTCTTCTAGAATATAGTAAGCAAACAGTGCTAACAGTTTAAGTTTTGAAGACATTTGCCTCCAAATAGATATTTAAAGAAATGCAGCCAATTAAGTTAAGAAGTATATTAACATGTAAGCTTAGGCTTTTCCAGTATGACACCAAAATGTGGTAGTGTAGCAATACACTAAAACTGACCCTTCGGTTTGTTTTGAGCCAGTTATGCAAATTCTTTCTCTAGACCATTATGACATATCAAAATTATTCTTTCCTTCTTAAGGCTGCAAAAAGATGTCAGTATCTAATACCGGATTCTTATGTACTGTATTGGACATAAGATTCTTATTTTATCACCATTGACAAACAAGGGACGTAATGAGAGGGTGAAAGAAGTAAGCTTAACTTCCACCACATTCTTTTAGCTTGAGACCAAATACACCCAGAATAGAAAAGTGAGAGAGAAAGAGAGGATAACTCTAGCACAGGAAACACACAAGCAAACTGTATTATAAATTTAGATATATATTTGCAATATCCTACACACCATTTGATGAGTTAATAACGCATTAGAGATCTTTATATGAGCTAAAACGTCCCTTCCTCTTACTTGAATGGCACAAGTCCTAAAACAAATTACCGGTTTCTAATTGGTTATGAAAATAGGATGCAAGCTATTAATCTTCTATTAAAGGTGGGGTTCCTGATATTATTCGTACGTTCATGAACTGCAACCAAATTAAAGGAACACCTGAATCGACATGATTCTGGTAACTTATGTCATCACAACCAACTGCTATATTCAAAGTTATAACCAAAACATTCGATGCTTAAACAGGCATACTCATAACGAATCACTTGTTGTGAAACAATCTTTGTGCATATCAGGTATTGACGTACCACTCAAGTGACGTGGATGGAAATCTATACTGTAAACCGAATAAGTAAAGTAAATATCATGTTATGTGTTTGTTTGGGTAGTTGAGTGGTTTCATTATTGATATTTTCTATGAACAACTATTTGATCGAAGATCAAACTTCTTTCTAAATGCTCAATTTCTCATCACTTGCGTGGTGGTTGGGCACTTTTCACCTTCTTCCTTACATAGAATCTGACAATAAGAAAGGTGGGGTGTCTACCCAATTTAGAAAGCATCTTTTACACCTCATCAGATGCTCTGGGATAGAAAAAGAAAAGAAAAATATGAAATATTCATGCCTATAAACATAATTACGATACTGCTCTTCTACAGCATAGAAGTTAAAGGGTGCATCAAGGGTAAGGATGTCATTCAAGATGTAAGAGGCTGCCGTGCATATCAATCTACGGATAATCAACATGTTATCAATTAGTTGTGAAGCTCATGAACGATACTGTAGTATTTTTCAGGGAAAAAAGAATCTATCCTTTTCAGTGTCAAGTAAGCACATCAACCCAAAATCTTCAAAAATAATTATCTATATATAGCATTAGCAAGAGCTCAGTTCACCCACAACAAAATCTAAATTTAGCCCACTCGTTTTCTGTTTTACGTATTGCTACAAGTTCCCAAGATGGCCACAGTTACAGCTTTGGTGAATGAAAGGTCAGTGGTTATATTCAGCAAAACCTCTTGCTGCATGTGCCATACCATTCAGACGTTGATAAGTAGTTTTGGAGCAAATCCAACTGTTTATGAGCTAGATAAGCATCCAAAGGGACAGCAACTAGAGAAGGAACTCAAAGGATTAGGGTGTAAGCCAAGTGTACCAGCCGTGTTCATAGGGCAGCAGTTGATTGGGGGTGCCAACGAGATAATGACCCTTCATCTCAAGGGTCAGCTGGTGCCATTGCTTCTCAGGTCTAACGCAATATGGGTTTAGTGAAACGTGTTCAAGCTTTTACAGTATACAGTTAGAGTTATGTGAATACATGTTGTAAAATACGACGGATCCAAATTGACTTAAATAATATTAGCTCAATGCGGAATGAGATCAAAAATTATCAAAGCGTAATAATCACAACGTAATACGAATAAAATAAATAGAATAGAGACACAGGAATTTACGTGGAAACCCAAATCGGGAAAAAACCACGGGCGGAGGAAGCCGAGAAACAATTCACTATAATTTGCAGTGTTTACAGGGATTATGAAAGAGATTACAAAATAGAGTGGGAGAGCTAAAATACACGGTGGTGTATCAGTATATATATGTAATGCTTTTTTATATATACTTGGATGATTATGTTAAATCTCTCTGGCTCAGGCTATTTATAGCCAAAAAGAATATCATATGAAAGGAAAAAAATGCCGTCCAACTTTGTGCGTCCAATTGTAGGCAATGTTAGGTAATGTTAGGCGCCTAACATTTGACCAAAAAGTTCGCCGTTCAAACATTACATTACTATTCATAGTCAAATTGTAGGCGTCCAAAATGTGCCGTCCAATTATTCAAATTCACATATATATTACTATTCATAGTCAAACTATGAATAGTAAATGATAAGTTACTGAAATAACCCCTGAACTATTTGCCACTTGCTAATTTTGGAGGCAACTTTTCCACAATCTCCACCTTGACATCAAAATTAAGCAAGTCATGCTTTACGATTAGTTAAAACCTATAGCTCACCAAACTCTAAAACTTCCATAAGAACCTGCAAATTTTATATAGATAAAAAATTGTTTCCGAAAAATAAATAATACTTCCTCCACCACGAGCCTTCAGGCTCAACTGCGATCAGAAACACCCACCATGTCCAAACATAATTTGAACTTGGCTATAGGAAGACTTTTAGTGAACATATCAGCGGGATTATAATCTGTATGAATCTTGTCCACAACACAATCACCTTTTTCAATGATATCCCGCACAAAATGATAACGAATATCAATATGCTTTGTTCGGTCATGAAACATTTGATCTTTACTCAAGAAGATAACACTTTGGTTGTCACAGAAAACTGTGGTCACCTTTATTCTATCATCGAGTTCTCCAAATAACCCCTTCAACCAGATATCTTCCTTAACTGCTTCTGTAATCGCCATGTACTCTGCCTCGGTAGAAGACAGGGCAACTGTAGACTGTAACTGGGCTTTCCAACTAACAACACAACCATTTAGAGTAAACACATACCCTGTAATTGATCTTCGTTTATCCAAATCTTTTCCATAATCTGAATCAACATATCCGAACACCCCAGTGTTAGATTTACCAAAACGTAAACACATAGAAGACGTACCGCGTAAATAACGAAAAATCCACTGTACTGCTTTCCAGTGTTCTTTCCCCGGGTTCGCCATGTATCTACTAACCATGCTAACAGCATAAGCCAAATCAGGGCGCGTGCAGATCATAGCATACATCAAAGATCCAACAGCACTAGAGTATGGAACACGTGCCATGTAAGCCATATCAGTCTCATTAGTAGGACTCAAAGCGGATGATAGCTTGAAATGAGCTGCAAAAGGTGTGTTGACAGACTTTGCTTCATGCATACTGAAGCGTCTTAGGACTTTCTCAATATAACTTTTCTGAGAAAGATGCAAGATCCTAGACTTCCTGTCACGAATAATTTCCATACCTAAAATCTTTTTGGCAGCTCCTAAGTCCTTCATTTCAAATTCAGCTTTCAACTGGTCTTTTAACTTCTGAATCTCCTTCATATCTTTCGCTGCAATCAACATGTCATCCACGTACAAGAGTAAGTAGATCTTTGAACCATTGTCACCTTTCTTGAAATAAACGCAGCTATCATAGGTGCACCTGCTGAATTTGTGACTGGTCATGAAAGAATCGAACCTCTTGTACCATTGTCTAGGAGACTGCTTGAGGCCATAAAGAGATTTGTTCAACTTGCATACGTAGTTCTCCTTTCCAGGAACTACAAAACCTTCAGGTTGTTGCATAAAAATCTCTTCCTCAAGCTCACCATTTAGGAAAGCTGTAGTGACATCAAGTTGTTCTAACTCAAAATCATTAGAAGCAACCAACCCCAACAATACACGAATGGAAGTATGTTTGACAACTGGGGAATAAATGTCAGTGTAATCAATACCAGGAATCTGACTGTAGCCTTTAGCTACTAACCGAGCTTTGTATCTTGGTTTATCATTTGGGTTGACAGGTTCTTTGAGCTTGTAGACCCACTTGCATTTAACTGGTCTCTTCCCTTTCGGAATAGGAACTAAATTCCAAGTACTGTTTCGCTGCAAGGATTCCATCTCATTTTGCATATCGAGCATCCAATCATTTGAGTCTTTAGATTTGATAGCCTCGTCATAATTCGCAGGCTCCGTTGCGGACTCAATATTATCAGCAACAATAAAAGCATAGGCAACCAAATCAGATCAGCATACCTCTTCGGAGGAATAATCTGTCTTCTCGGTCTATCTCTTGCAATGCTTGGAGTAGTAGCTTGTGGTTGTGAAGGTGTTGAATCTTCACCAACAACATGCTCATCCGACGAAGAAGAATCTTGATGCTGATTTGTACTCTGATTAGTGGTAGGTGAAGTAGGAAGCTCCACCTCCATTTGAGCATTCTCTTTATTTGCTTCGGATGATACATCTGATGCATCTGTTCTTTTAGAAGAGTCAGCAACTGGTTGAATTATAGCAGACTCATCAAAAGTAACATCTCTTGAGATGATAATTTTCTTCAAATCAAAGCTCCATAACTTGTAACCCTTTACACCTTGATTGTACCCAAGAAAAACGCATTTGATTGCTCTTGGTTCTAGCTTCCCATTGTCAACTCGTGCATACGCTGGACATCCGAATGGTTTTAAATCTGAATAATTGGCAGGTTTACCGGACCATAACTCAAACGGAGTTTTCTTCTCGATTGCTCGTGACGGTGATCGGTTGATAACATAGCAAGCAGTCGAAGCAGCCTCCGCCCAAAAAGACTTTGGCAATTTGGAATTAGAAAGCATACACCGGACCTTCTCCATAATGGTGCGATTCATCCTTTCAGTTACACCATTTTGTTGAGGTGAATGGACTACTGTGCGATGTCGAGTAATGCCTTCCTTTTGACAATAGACATTAAACTCTTCTGAGCAAAACTCAAGTCCATTATCCGTACGAAGATACTTTAACACCAGACCTGATTGCTTTTCAACCTGAACTTTCCAATTTCTGAAGGTAGAGAAAACGTCTCCTTTATGTTTTAAGAAGAAAGACCACACCTTCCTGGAGAAATCATCAATAATAGTGAGCATATAAATAGCTCCACCTTTTGAAGCAACTCGAGCCGGTCCCCACAAATCCGAGTGAACATAATCAAGTGGTCCTTTCGTTGTATGGATACCACTTGCAAACCTTACTCGTTTTGCCTTGCCATATACACAATCTTCACAGAAATGCAAATCAACAATCTTTCGTTGACCAAGTAAACCTCTTCGACTCAATTCTAACATGCCTTGAAAACTCATATGGCCGAGTCGAAGGTGCCAAAGACGGGACTGATCTGGATCAGAAAGAGACTTTGAAACAACAGCAGCATCACTCGAAATTGTTTGCCCGTCAAGAAAGTAAAGATCTGAGGTTTTTCGTTTGGCTCTCAGTTTGTCGGAACCGTCTTTGAATACCCTGAGAACTCCACCTTTACCAGCAAACTCGTATCCCTTTTTGTCAAAGGAACTGAGAGATAACAAGTTTCTTCTGAGGTCAGGAACATATCTAACATCCCCCATGGTTCGAATAACTCCGTCAAACATACGGATCCTGACTGAACCATGTCCAAGAACTGGACATGTAGTATTGTTACCCATCAACACATAGCCCTGGTTAACCTTTTCAAATGTGTAAAACCAACTTTTGTTGTGACACATATGAAAAGTACAACCAGAGTCGAGTATCCAATCACCAGTGGAATCCAGTTTATCTGAATAAACTGTCAAAAGTTCTCCAATACCTTCAACCTCAGCTACATCGGCTTCACCCGAAGTGCTAGCTTGTTTGCCATTTGCTGCCGTCTTCTCTTTTTCTTTATTCTTCAACTTGAAGCATTCTTCAAGCACATGTCCCTTCTTGTGACAATAGTTGCAAAACTTTCGTTTGCCTTTTGACTTGGATCTGGTTCTGTTGGAAGATTGAGAAGTTCTACTTCTCTCTGTTGTTCTTCCTCTGGCATTCAAACCTTCGGCTTTAGCATCACTTGAACCACCACCAGTAATATGCTCCATCTTCTCTTTGGAATCCAAAGCTGTATAGACTTCATCTAAAACTAGAGTGTCACGGCTATAGATAATAGTATCACGAAAATGGCTATAGGATTCTGGCAACGACGATAGTAAGAATAGAGCCAAGTCTTCATCTTCATACTGAACATCCATATTCTCTAAGTTATTTACTAACTCTTTAAATGTGGATATATGTTCAGCTAAAGAGCCTCCTTCAATCATCTTGAGATTGAACAACCGTTGCTTCAAATGCAACTTGTTTGGTAAGCTCTTGGTCATCAACAGTTGCTCCAACTTTAGCCATAAAGAAGCCGCTGACGTTTCTTTTAGAACATCTTGCAAAACATCGTTTGACAAGTGCAAACGAATCTGGGATAAAGCCTTCAGATCTTTCATCTCCTTTTCTTCTTCGGTCCATGTATCGGGCATCATATTGAAACCCAAGAGCGCCTTGTGTAAATCCATCTGAATGAGAATGTCTCTCATATTTACTTGCCACAACGGAAATCGGGTGTTACGATCCAGTAGTGGAATATCGTATTTTACCGAAGACATGATTAATTACTTGATAAAATGATCCCAACGAGCTAATATCACAACCTGGCTCTGATACCAATTGTTGTAAAATACGACGGATCCAAATTGACTTAAATAATATTAGCTCAATGCGGAATGGGATCAAAAATTATCAAAG